GATTTTCTACGCTACTTATTCGTATAAGTAACACGTTTTGTTTGTTTGTTCCTGACAGTAGGTGACACTTNGGGGGGGGGGGTCAGGAAGATGACATAAGGCGGAGCGTGTAGCACAATCGCTTTGATTAGAGACAGATATTGTTTGAAAAAATCTGTAGGTTTTCTTGCTTCAGCTTCCAATCACCTTTCTTCGAAAGTGACAAATGTTTGCTAAAAAAATAAACTACTCACTGTGTTTGGGCAATAGATGTCCAGTAATCAACACAATATTTAAACAATTGATAGGGAACAGAACATTTTTCCATATAAAAGTGACTATTTCCTTTTTTCCATATATTCCTAATTATTTAAAAAAAATTTGAATTTCCTTGTTTTCGGACCGGAAACACCTGAGTCCACACCACCGGTCATATTTGATCCTCGTTGGTTCATTCTTTCATAACTCTGTACTTTCGAATTAATTTTCAAGGTTATTGCTAGCCGGTCCTGAAACTGTATGGAAATAGATGAGTTGGCCAGAGCCATCGCCTTTTGAGTCGAGCTGAATACACAACCTCACCTGAAGACCTGTCTCCCGTTTTCCCTCAGGTTGGGTTCCGGGAGCGTACTAGTTGTTTCTTCCAGTTCTCTTGGGAATAGCATTGGGTCCCGCGGTCGGGCCAGGTCTTAAGTTTACTCGGTGCCTGGATCGTTACGGTCAGTCGCAGTCAGTCTCGCCGTTCATCCCGTTTGGGTCACGGTTCAAACTAGCCCGAACGTGTCGTTTATCCGAAGGTTACAACAGAAATTAAGCCGCCGACAAAATACCGACTAAATATGATTAGACGAACAGTAGACTTGATCAGTATACCCGTGCACAATGCATTCTTTCTTTGTTTTGACAATGCGGCTGGATCACAGTAAACACAATGAAGAACAAAGGCAATAATGCTTGGAGGTTGAATCCAATCACGTGTCGAGATAGAAACAGGCGCATCATCTTCCCTCTGTCTCGTTTTCATTTATCCTACATCTGTTTGTTATTTTACAAACCAAAATTATTACTGGATTATAAAATCCGCACATAGTGGCAACACTACGTGTGTGTGGGTGGATGTGAACGAGTGTGTACCAGTTCCCTCCAATCCAGATAAATATTGGGGTTCTGTGTGTGTGTGTGACTGAATGTGCTATCTGGTTCTCGTCAATTTCTTCCAGACAATTCAAAGCAGCTCTGCCCAACTGTACCCGAATCGTTTAATGGGTCGGAAACGCAGTTCCAATTTCTCGTATCGGGGATAACCACGGATTCAGACGTGGAATGTGACTATGGGATCACGGCGACGAGCGGAAAACCGGTGACTGTGCAAATCACGGACATGCGAGTAATTTGGTCCGATTGATTCATATTCTACTTGTGAAACGTGATCGGTTGACTCGTTCCCAATTTTTAACCAACTTCTCCCGTATCTATCATGTCTATTTTGCATCGATCCAATTAGCTCGGATTGAGCACACCGTGTACGGATAACTATGTCGTGTTTGGAAGCACCAACGACCTTACTGCGAAGGACACTTATAAAAAATGTGGGCGGAACATACCGGTGGACAGTTTTATCACGTCTAGTAATAAACTATTCTTCCGGATACACGTCACTGCAACATCGAGGCTAGCGCGATTATCATTCACATACAAAGCAAACAGTAAGTGATATTCCGCTATACAGGTATGAATCGTTACGGACAATAGTGTTTTCGACCCTGCGCGCACACACACACACAGATATACACACACGAGACTGACTTCAAATGTACGTGCAATCAGTTTGAAATTTAGTTTTGTGTTATAATGCATTGTCCAAAATTATATATTCAACGTCTACTCTGTTCTCTTTGCCTCATTTGTTTAGGCACGATACAAATAACGAGGCGTATAACGCTTTTACTATCCAATATCATTCTTGCCTCCCTGTTGATCTGGTAAGCATGCAGTGTTCTGTCTGTGGTGTCGGTTTGGGGTTTGGCGGTTGATTCTCCGCCTGAGTTGAACAGCCGACAAAATTGTTTACATGGGGACAATCTTAAATCTCAGCCACGTCCCGTTTTTATCGGTAACTGATGAACTGTACTAACATCCTAAGGAAATTCTATCAGAGAATGCCTGTTATACTGTTTCCCTTAATTTATGCAATACTTAAAAGCTATGGAAATGATATGGAATGGTTGTAGCTCAGGATGAGAATGTTGGTGTTGGTGAGTTCTCCGATGTAAAAGTGTTGTTCATCGACGTATCTTCCTAGCTAAGCTAGGCGACATCATCAGTGTGACTTAGTGCTACGAAACATCTGCGAACGATAATTCCAGCTTGGTGAACTCAACGAACACCAACTTCAAAGATAGGTTAATTAAGTAGCTAATAAGGTCGTTGGAATCGGAAACATGCGACACAATCGATCACATTAAAAGATTTCAGTAAATTTTATTTCCCGTTCATTATTTTTAACGACTTTCATCTTAGTTTCACTGGAATGAACTTGTTCACCCTATTTTAATGAGTGTGCAGTGACCAATAAACGAGAAACTGTCGCCTACCGTGAGCTGAGGATATTAGATACTTTTGGTGTATTGGTAGTGTATAGTTAGATAGCCTAATAGATATAGGAGCATGATGTAGTTGTAATTAGTTAAAATATGCGGTGTAAACGTTCGGTGTTGAGTTCCAGGAGAACATTGTGCCACCAAGCGGTTAGATTCGCCGAAGATCAAAGAGCCTGAACCTCGTTCCCCACCCCGCAGCACCACCACCGCCGCCACCGTAGCAAAATAACTCTCCTCTATTTGATCACATCATGTGACAGTGCTCTGATTGATGGAATTATTGTTCGCATCATTACACATTGAAGAAACGAAGTAAAAATAATTAAAAACACGAAAAAGTGATGCAAAAGAAGGAAACACAGTTGAATCGGATGTTACATTCAAAAGATAACGATTTGCATGTTTTTACTCCGAAATCGCTGAGCCCGATCACGCTATGAGTATGGCAAGAAAAGGCGATAGGGCGATAGTTGATGATGATAGACTGGATCGACGTATAGTCAAGGAATTCGATAAATAAAATGTTTTCTAACGAACTCACTCCGTGTATTTAGCGTATTGTATTTATTTAACTTGTGTAAGCATATATGCGTATATTTCAGTTAAAAATGTACACTATTCATCACACGGAATGAAATAATCGTAATAATAATAACACATAATAATAATAATAATAATAATGGTGAAATATAACGTGAAAGGCATAGAATGTCGCTGATATTTGTATAATGCACAAACCTTTTGACGTAGTTCACTTGCGACCTGTTCGTTTTTGGTTAGGAGTCGGGCCAGGCACTGGCATGTGAACTAGCCTTTAAACATATTTCTTGGCTCGTCTACCATGTTTGTGTGCAAGATTTGTTTAAATATTAACAGAAAACCAGCAGAAAGTGCAATTGTTTGAAAAGTGGAACTGCACTCATTTAAGTTTAGATTCAAAGGAACACAGTCCGTCGAGCCTTGTGTCCGAATGTCCCTGCTTTATTCCTAAAGTTTAGTTCGCCGCGGACAATCTCTCGGTACAGAGCAAACAGGTTGACGCCAATTGATTTGTACAATTCATCCACAATTTTCAACAGTCGAGTGTTTGGTTCTGGAGAATGCGTTCCCAGTTCAAATGACTAGTCTGTTTCAACTTTGTATGACGTTTTACTCGCCACATTCTCCTCTTCTATTCCAGATACTAATAAAAACAATTGTCCCAGATTTACCAAGAAAAATTAAAGTTTTCCTTTTCAAACACCAACGAAAACCCGGCACTTGAAAAGGATTGAACACTTTGAAGTGCCGGTTCTCATTACTCAGTTCATGACCCATTTGTAAATAAGTTGCATGATTTTGAATGATACAATTAAACAAAGTTCACGGAAAACCACATTTGTGTTCTGATTTCATCTTAAACGAACGCCAAGGAGTAGTACAGCGTTAAGTGGACTCTTACGGGATATGGAACAAGCACAATTTGGAGAAACAATTGTTTTTCAGCACTTCTCATTCTCAAGCCATGTGCAGATTACAAAAAGTTAGACAGAACACCAACAATTTTCGGTAAGAGTTTGTCGCAATCAACTCGCTTTTGTCATTCGATTGGTTTAACTGGCTCAGGGACCTCAGGTCGATTGGATGGCTCGAGCCTGATCGATCATGGGTCATGGAAGTTGGAGTGACTGGACCAAACGATTTGAAGGGAAGAGGTCAGGGATCAACTGTCTTATCCCGATCGCTTCGGTTATTGCTAGGGTGCGCAGTTGAACACGCTTACACTTGGTATGGCGGACACGATTAACAATTTTAGCAAGTTTTTCCCGAGATCAGTTTCAAAAGAAAAGACCATATTACAATACTGCATGATTTATGTTCAAGAGGATTTCGCTGCATCTTAACATGGTGCATACTGCAGAAAACACAATATTTATATAGGAATTTAGCATGGCAACAAGGAAGAGTAAAATACGATGAAACAAACAAACATAAAAGGGGGAGGGGTAAAAGGACTGTGTTACCAGGGTAAGAATAAACGAACATAAAGTTGGAATATGTTTAACCACCCGGTTACGTAATTTTCGCTCTGTTCTGCCCAAGTAGGTCACTCCGCATTCACATTGGAATCGGTAAATCAGATTAGATTTGGACTACAGAGGCAAACGTGCTTTTACCAGGGTGTGGGTATTCTAGTTGTCCTATAGACGATTTGAGGGTCAGCTGCATAGCAGGTTCGAGCAATTGCCGACCTCAGTAGTTTTTTTCAATCAAACAGCCTACGTCATCACCTTTGAATTGGAGGCACAACGTGACTCGTAATTTTGGAGCTGACGCAATCGTTTCTTTTACGGCTCTTGGTTTGTTATGTTAATTGACGAACGCTTCGGGGTAAGTGTTTTTTGCTAACATCTCCCGAAGATTTTTGCCCCTGAAGTATAAATGTGGTCTTGTTCAGACGCTATTCGACAGAATGAGGCGGATCCTCCAGATGCTCGCCAAGCGCTTAATGAGCGAGATACCGTATCAAATCGTAAATCCGAAATGGAGCGAAATTCTGTGAAATCCTCCAGTGTTTTGGATGAATTGACCATGGAGAAGAAAGAGGACTTTGTTGCTCACATTCAATCAATTACAGACAAGAAAATCGAACGCATGGGTACAACATTACGAAAATGTGTCAATCCTAAGAAACTGATTGGTGAGTTCTATTTAGATCTGAAGAGATTTGTCCATAGGTTTTCGTTTGTGAATTTGGATAAGACCTTGCTTGAAGTGCTATCTCGGACCAAAATTCTGCTGTCCAACCAATAAGATTAAATTTATTTTCTCGTGCGTTTTATGCTATTGGGCCTACTGCCCTCCCGTTGTCTTCTCCAGTCTACTGTCTTGGGACTTCATATCAATTAGATGCTCTTTTTTTATTACACACATTTGTGTGATGAACAGTAGACAGGGCAAACCCCATAGTCACGAGGACCTGCTGCTCCCGCATGGAAACCAATAGCCTAAGCTCCGGGACTTGGAGTGGTGAACCACCTAAGGCCCCGATAGGTTAGGCGTGGTATTGAACCGGTCGAAATCAGAGCGGTCTACCACCAGAATTGTGTGGCGGTGGCGGGGCTCGAACCTCGGACCATAGGGTCCAAAGCACGCCAGTGACACCGACTCATCCACTGCGCCACCACCACCCATCTTTAGATATGGAGCTGTATCTTACGACGAGCTGATTGGTTCCATTGCCAACCAACACCTTAAGGCGTGCGACCATCTGTGCAACTCTATCTTGTCCGCTGCATCACATGCTTTACCCTCAATCCCCGCTCCATTTCAACTTCTTTCACCCGCAATAAATTTCAACCTCGTACTACTGTTGTTCACAGCTTCATTGAACCTTACCTTTTTCACCTTTGTTGATTCCCAGACAACGAACTTATGCACAGTCTGTTGTAAATTTTCACATCAAAATTTTCTTCATTTTTCTAATAGTTCCCAGTATCTTCTTTAACATCCTCTAAAAAATTATTTGTCATACATCACAACTCATTTATAATAGCGTATATCTCAAAGCAAAAGTGATAACATTCTTTTGTTTGAAAATTCTACCCACATTGGTTGAATGAAGAACACTCCTGAATTCCCCAGAATTGACTAGGGCACCACTCCAATGAACGAATACATGTCTCAAATTCTTGCTCCCCATGCAGCAAAGTGCGGTATGCAATCAATTTGGTAGCCAAATGAGGTTCGTTTCACTAAATTACACTAAACAATGATGAGGAGGATGATTAGGATGATGATGATGATTATGATGATCAAGATGAGTGGGATGTTGAACATGATGATGGTGATGATGTTGACGACGATGCTGATGATGACGATGATGAGGGACAAATCATGATGAGTTGGATGATAATGACGATGATGATGATGATGATGATGATGATGATGATGATCATGAGTGGGATGATGATGATGATGATGGTGATGATGGTGATGATGATGATGATGATAATGATGATGATGTTGAGTGGGATGATGCTGATGATGATGATAACGACCATGATCTTGTTGACCATGATGAGTGGGATGACATTGATGATGATGATCATGCTGACGATTGAGAACATGAGCGGGATGATGTTGATGATGATGATGATGATGATGATGATGATGATGATGATGATGATGATGATGATGATGATGATGATGA